ATATCCGAGGAGAACATGGAAACTTGAAAAGAAAGAGAACCACACATCCTGGAGCCAGGCTGTAGAAAGACTTGAACCACGGCGCGCATCTCCATCACTCTTGAAACATCACAGAAAGTACAAACAAGCCTACTCTTCAGAGGAGTTCCACTGCATCTCACTGTATAACCTGCACACACACGGTATCTGGAGTCCAGAGATAGCGGCGGTGATGAAGCTCAGTGATGCAGCCACAGGAAGGAAAACACCTGTTTGCTTTGAGTACCCTTATCAGGTTCCCCTAATCCCTCACTTAAGCTGCTACAACCAGAGAGAGATTTAAAAACCAGTTCAAGAAAGGCAAGAGAGGAGGAAACTCCCTGTTCTTTCCGTCTGTGTTGAACGGCGCCTCATCCTGGATGCTGCGTCTGAGCAGAGCGTAGGGCACAGACTCAGCTGTGCTGCTCACAGCATCCCACCTCCAACCTGGAGAGCCAACAGTGGGGAGGAGTGTGGATTCCACAGTGACAAACAGACCCAGTCAACGATCACAGGTAGAAAATGAAATAATTATTTCCACAGTAGTGCGTCTGTGTGTGGAACAAAAGGCGTGGCTCAGGCAGAGAGTAAGAAACCACACTAAGACTGATCAGACGACTGATGACTGACTGCTGACATTGTTATAGAAGAGACATTGAGATCCCTCGGAAAAAAATATATAGTCATATAGTCATAAAGTCATCCCCTTAAAAGATTTTTTTTTTTTTAAATATCTCATAATTATGCCAAGGACGGAGAGCCATCATCACACATCAGTCGTTTTATTGTCACAATCTAGTGAGGCAGCGGATTATCGTTAATATAAATACATTTCACTAATATGTATATAATTATATATATTTATATTTCAAAATCAAGAATGTTAATGAATGTTATAAATACAAATAAAAATAAACTGACGACCTGTTTTGTTAAACTGGACGGCGGTGCGATGTTGTGTAATGGCTAACTTCATGCTGTTTGCTTATAGTCCTGCACTCTTCAGAGATAGGAGACTAACCAATACTGCCACCCACCGTTTATAAGCAGTAGTGCACAAGTAACTTTTTTAAAAAAATATGATCAATAACAAAAACAGGGTCACGCATTAAATTGAGGATTATTCACTGCTCAGCCTGTACACACCACCCGTGCTGTTCAGCCAATAATGTAATAGAGCTGGAATGTAGAAAATCACTCACTTTGATACAAAACAAAATCAGAAGCAAACACAAATCAATTGAACACTAAACTTATAAACAAAACAAAGGGAAAGTGTTTAAAAGCAGACAAAAAGGGGAAAAGCTCCCTTTACAAACAGGACATAGATGCAGCGAGGTCAGATTCAGCACCGCGGACAGCTCCATGAGCTCACAGCCATAAAAGACTTTGTGGAAACACCCAGAGCCAAAGTCATCAGTAAACTTGAATACTGCTGTATATCAGGGATACTTTACACAGTCCCACGCGTTTTTGGATATTTACTGACAGACCGGAAAGAAAGCAGGGTTGCATGAATGTAAATGCGGTGAGCAGCATACCTGAGACGGATTTCCTCAGAGGGAAAGTCATGATTCTTCAAACGTACGAAGCTAAATCTGCGTCTTGATCGCGTATAGTCCCCGGGCGGTGAAAGGAAGGCTGGCAGTTCTACTTCTAATTCAGCAAAGTTGAAACCATCGCAGGACAACTGTTTTAGATGTAGTGGAGGAGAAAGCGTCGAGGCGTGGCCAACAACAGGAAGATCATTATAGGACATTAGCGACGTGCCATTATGACTCCGAAAAATGCTCATTAAACATTCATTTAGAGGTCTTGTTGATCCGGCTAAACCAGGCGGGTGTGTTCTCTGTATTGCTGCGTTTGACGGGACCAGATTGAGGGAGAAGTGGTAGAAACACGAAGGATGGGGATTGTACTTCCTTCTCGGAGCAGAGAAGACTTTGATCTCGTATTACAAAAAATGATGTAAAATGATCCGATAATGCGTTGACTAAACCGGTTATGCGGGTCAGGTCTCTTTGGACTGAAAAACATCGATGAACACTCAACAGAGACAACAGTGTGCATTAGGCACGGTGTTTGTCTGTCTCCCACAGAGACAATTCTCTCTTTGGTGAAACCGTAGAAGCAGGCACAAAGAATAAAGATCGTCTCAACATGACCTCGTCGTCAATATGTCCTGATTTAGAGTGATAGCATCACGTGATCCATGTCCCCTGTTGTGTTAAATTAGTTTGGTAACTTTGTGGCAGATAAATCAAAATAGCTTGGTGGATTTGAAGGGCGACAGTGCAGGGACAGAAATGACATTTAAGCTCTACTGAAGGCCGTGCACCGTTTTCTTAATGTACCTATAAATGACCGCTAGATGGCGCAAGTAGACTGAACGTCAGGCGCACACTGTTCGCTTTCAGCCATGCAATGAAAATCTAAATTCAATTGACACATGAATTTAATAATATTTAAATTCATATTTTATCATTTATTTGTTTGTTTATTTTTAATATATCTGTTTAATATATTCTATTTCAACCTAAAGATAATCAGTGTATTACTACAGTACTACAAACCACTGAGCTGTATACATGTAAAAACATGAAGAGGAACAATGATTTTTTTGACCAGTCAACCATGGAAGAGACGGTACTTTCTTCATAAAAGGTTCATTTACTTTGATGATGATCACTTGTACAACCAAGTCACTACATGGGAATATAAATAGTTCATGGGTCTAAGAATCAATATATTGATTTACCAAGGATGTGGTTGAGATGATATAAGAAACACAGAGTGAAGATGCATTTGTGTTTCCCTCTTACTGTCATGGATGAGCTCCATGAAGGGAGTCTAACCTTTAACCCTGCACTGACTGTAAACTGATAACAGCCAAAGGATACTGCAAGGTTAAATGAAGCTTGATACTGTGTTGTAGTATAGTATAATAACCAGCACGAAGATTTAGAGCCAACCTAAGCTGTGATGAAAAAAAAAAAAAATTATTACCAGCAATCCTTCATATTTGAGGAAGTCGTAAAAATAAAAAAAATGAAAAATCGGAATTTGGGATTTAATTCACATATATTTACATTTTTCTTAAGCCTTAATCTGCTTAATAAAAAAATCTGATCAACC